CAAAGTAATCTTCTCATGCTGGTGATTTCTTATATATTCCGTCTCTCCTCCTCGCTTCTTTTACGCTTGAATTCGTGGGATTTGATGACCCCGTCCCGAGCGCCGAGGATTAACTCCTGGCTTGCTTCGTGCCCTCCCAAACATCCACTCTCCCACCTGGCGTTGGAGCAGCTGTTCCCATCTCATGGGGAGCCTTTAGCTACCTGACGCATTCCCCAAGCTCGGGTAACGCCTTGCTGACTTTGCGCCTTCGGCACCTCTCGTGAGCCGTTTTTTTCACGGCAGTGCCAATGGTGAATGTGTTGATGAGGTAAGATGCGCAAGCAATCAAGCAAAGGTATAAACGCATGCTCTTCTCGAACTCAATGTTGTATTTGCCGTCCAGAGCACTCTTTCACTTCTGCATTTGACCTTTTCCGGTTCTTATCTCCCTTCCGATTTCACCGTGTGTTTGTGAGAATTTCCGACGTGGCTAGCCTTCTTTTGAAGTCTAGGTCACACGAAGTTTTAACAGCCTCCTTGAGTGCTGTGACGTGATTGATGACCCACCATCGCGTTTGAGGGTTACTTTCTTGTGACCAGTGAACAAAATCATGTCCCGAACCACATTGGGCGAATAAGGGTACATTCCCTTCTTAAGTGCAACTCGGCTGCGCATGATTACAAAGGGACTTCCGTTTCCTTCGCCTTGACCGTCTTTTTTCCACATTTTGCGCACATGTTGCCGATTGAGATCACAGGTGTTCCTTGCCTCCATGATTCCATCGTCCGTTTGTGCGCTCTCCTCTGTGCCTTCACTCTAACGCAGCGGGGGCGCCAACTCCGATATGGCAGTTGAGGTTTTTTGTGTAACTCGACTTCCTCTTTGCTTGGCCTCAAGTCGTACGTGCTTCTCTTAGGTGCCTCAGCTTCGTCTTCCACAAGCACGTCCCCGACATCACTTAACTCACTGCTTTCATTCTCATCGTTTGGGTCGTCCTTCAAATTCAGGATGACTGGATTTTGACTGGGGCTTACGGGCTCAGCCAGACTCAGTAGAACAGGTCCGCCATGAGAGTTCCCTGCTGGGGAAAACCTTCACATCTGTCCTCACTCACCTCTTCTACCTTTCTTGTTCCCTCTCGACTCGTAACTTTTTTCGGGACCCAGATGGTGAACCGGAAGTTACAATTGCCCCGTTGCCTTGTGCTCAAGGTAATTTCAGGATCGCCGATCGCTGTCTCGATCTAGCACTGTGCGATTCCCCGCTTCGACCATCTCACGAGCAGACCCGAGCACTCTTTTAGCGTCGGCTATTCGAGTGGGCATGCTCACCGTGGACCCCCTTTCGTTTTTCCCTACGATGACCCGTTGCCCATGGTTCCGGATGAGTGACCCATTCGCCTCACTGCAGTGTTTGCCCTCCGTGGAGGCCTCCGCGGATTTGACCGGGACGTGAGTTCCTACACTTGAGGCTCCAACGGTGTTGCAGGTTCTTGAACCCGCAGTAACTGCAACTGTCAGCCTCCCACTTTTCTGGTCCGTCACTGGCACCTGTCAACTAATTGTAGCTCTGCGTATTTTTGCATCCAACTTTTTCTTCTGCTTGATACACTCCGATATTCGCTTCAAGTTGGTGCCATGGTTGCAGTTTTCGCCGCACTCATGCAACGCATGATTCCTCTTGATCCCTAACCTCGCTTCCTGGTTCCTCCCCTTCGTCACCTGGTACTGCGTCCTCCATTCCTGTGGTCACCTTGGTGGCTCCACTGTTTTGGGTTCGTCAGTGCCTCCGTATTTTTGTTGGTAACTCCGCCCACCTCGACGCTGTACATTGGAGGCCCTTGCCAAGAAACATCCTGCTCGCCTACAAGGTGCCCTGGGTAAAGCATGACGTCCCCACACCAAAAAGCGATGGACGTCCTGGGGTCTCAGGGTTGGGTTTCTTGTGGAAGGTTTCTTGTGGTCGGGCCTCTACTATAGCACCTTAGCCCTGGAAGAGATTGTCCTGACATCTGCGTAGGCTCTCCTGGGCTTCCCGCCCTCGCTTGACCGGGATTAACCTCATTGGTGTTCTTGGGGCAGCGGGCTACAATGTGACATTTTTTCGGTGGCCACATGTGAACCCTATCCCCACCCCCCGCGACTTCTAAGGGGGCGTGGGGATTCACTTCGTCTGGGAGCTTCCGAGCGGAGTGAACCTCCACCCCCCTTTAGAAATCGGGGGGGGGAGGGTAGGGTTCACATGTGGCGACCTACTTTTCGCAGCATTTCTAGTACTCTCTTTCACTGATCGGCACAAATCCTCCCTTACCTCCTCCTTTCCAGCCTGGGGCTCAGCTCCCGTGGTAACCTCCTGGGGGATCCTTTCTGTAGCGTCCCTTTGTTACCCCCCCCGGGTAGCCTTTGGTGCCTTGATATCCCCCTTTGTATCGTCCCGCCAGCAGTCCCTGATAACCTTTAAATCCTTGTGTCCTTAAATCCTTTGTATTCTCCTTGTCCGCCTCCTTATCCTTTAACGGCTCCTTTGGTGGTGAAATTGCCATGTGCCCGTACTTTCCATACTTGTAGCACATGGGTTCTTTGCCCTTACCCTTTGCTTTACCAACTTCGGTAGGGTTGCCAGGCCAGGGCCACCAGTTACCGCCCTCGTCGCAATAACCCGTGTCGTCTCCATTGGTCTCCGAATTTCCAATGTCGTCATCTTTAACCTGGCCAATCGGTGTTGTTCGTGTCGGCGTCTAGCTTTTTCATGCCCACTCCCCGCGCCTTATGAAGAGCTTATGGTAGGGGTCGATGTTGGACGACTCTGGGTTTTAAAGCAATCTTGCTGCCATACGTCAAATCAATCACCAGCGTGGGTCATCACGATTCTCAACGCTGTACGCCTGAATAGCCGTGGTAACGAATAGGCAGACCCATACTTCTCCAGTGGTTCTGCTAACGCACTCCGCTGTTCAAGCTGCACAGCCACCTCATTCATTTTCTTTGGTTTCTCGCGTTCATGACCAAGCTCATCTTGTGCTCACCCTGGTAACCGCAGAGTACCACTTGTAGGTTTTCGGACCCGCCATCAAAGCATCGGATGAGGAGGAGGAGGAGTACGAGGAGCTTCATGCAGGCCCTTACTCTTCCCCCGTGGCTCTGTTCCCTCTAGACTGTCGTTCAACGAATACCAGATGTCCTTGTCCAGCTTGGAATAGTCGTCTTCATCCACCCCGTATTCCTCCTTTACGTCGTCTTCCCTTCTCTTGATTCCTGGCGCTTTGTTGTACTCGTTTAGTTCTAATGTTCCGTTTGTGATTTTGATCAGACCGTCCTCGCCGTCAGGATTCGAGTTGGATTCGAGGTTGTTGCTCAACTTCTTGGGGGTTTTCTGGCAACCGCGTTTCACATGGGCGAGTGCATCCAACAGCTCCTCGCTCCATTCTCAGAATTTGGTCCTGTCACCTGAGAACGTCTTTGTATTCACTCACGGACTTGTTTCCACCTCCGCCAGGCCTGGTGTTTCCTGCGGACTGTATTGCCTAAAGGAGCTTGGTGACATTTTCCGAGGTGTTCGCTTGATGTTGGAACTCTTTCTTCACATTGTCCTTGAAGTTACTGAACTTTTCTTCGCAGTAGATGCTGCGGCTGAAAGCTGAGATCAGGAGATACTTCATTTTGTATTTCATCTGCAATATTGTGAATGCTTCGTCGTTGCCCACAGGCCTGGCGCCCTGTGTGGCACTGCGCTCGAAGAATAACTTCGTGCCTTAGTGATCGGCTTTGAGCGCCGAGTTCACGTACCTGACGTCACCGTTCTCGTAACCTGCGTTGCACAGCTTCGCGAACCATTTCGTGCCCAGGTTGTACCAGGCTTCGCTTACTTCAGGTAGCGACGCATCATAACCCGGATCGTTGGTTCCGGTTCTCGCCAGCTGCAGCTGCAGCCGCCGCCATCTCTGATGTTAGGGGACCACATGCGAACCCTAGCCCTACCCCCCACGATTTCTGAGGGGGGCAGGGTTAGGGTTCGCATGTGGTCCCCCAAACACGGGATTTGCTACCATGAAAATCTGACAGGAGCTTTTTCGCGAGAAGGCGATGGCAATAGAGCCAAACGCCCGCGGGGCGACCTCCGTACCACAAGATGCCCTAACTGCTAAAGAAGTGCACCCTTCTCACCCAGTCGCAACGGTATGTACAAACAGGAGTAGGAGGAGGAGGAGGAGGAGGAGGAGGAGGAGGAGGAGGAGGAGGAGGACCCTCACATCTGGGCGTCGTGAGGGAGTCTAGGTGTGCGCCCCGCCCGCCAGCCCTGACGCCCGCCCGCCCGCGTCAGGGCGCCAGGCAGGCGGCAGAAGCCACGAGAAGGGACACCGATGTCAAGAGTCTGTTGGTCTGGAGACCTGGGCGCGGGGACCGGGGCTCCGAGAAGGAAAAGGTAATGCCTCTACCCTTCGCCCGTTTTCTTCGGGCCTCCTGGGAGGCCCTCGTCGCCACCTCTGGATTCGCCTCGAAATTCTGGTCAGAACGCATCCCGGGAGAGATCCGGGGAGTAGCGGTATCGGTACCTCTTAGTTTCCCCAGTATCGAGAAATGGGATTGCAGAAAAGTGAGCCCCTCTGGCTCCGCTCCAAAAGTTTATCAAGGACTGGCGGTGTTGATGTTGGTAGCGGTGACGTGCAGGTCGCTCAGCTTCTGTACTCTACTTGCACCAGCGTGCGAGTCCCGCATCGACGGCGCGTTAAGGTACAGAAGTATCAGCGTGGACCGCGTAGAGTTTACCAAGCCCGATCGAGAATGCTGAGGAAGGATGCGCATGTGGGTCGGGAGATCTCGCGCCTCCCTGGGGCTCTCTTCAGTGAGGGTGCGAACCAGACCGCGGCAGCTCGATCCCCGCCATCCACTCCGCTCTCCCCCCTTGCCTCAACTCCTGTTGCCCTTTCCTTGCCCCCCCCCTCCATCGGGATCTCTTGCCGTCCTCGCGCCTTCACTCGTCGCTGTCGGGCGCGGGCCGGCCGCAGCGACGTTCCGAGGACCCTCCCGAGCGGACGGCCGACGTCCCGATCAGCCTGAGGCTCAGCGACGAGCTCCGGGAGCGCCGGCGTCGGGGGGGGTCCCCCTCTGGGCTCGAGGACTTTTCGCCAATCGGCTTGTGGGGATCGAGCCAGATAAATCAAGTTACATGCCGATCAGTTCAATTAAAGCCAGGTAGATCCTGGCGCATCCAGGTGAATCCATAGATCTTTTCAGGGGAAGTCGGAGCAAATCGTAGCCGCTCCCGCGCGAGTCCTCAACGAGAGCCCTCAACGAGAGGTGGGGGGGGGGGGCGGCGGTGGTGGTGGGTGCGGGGGCAGGGCCGCGGAGACCAATACGCAGGCTGGCTGGCTGACTGGCTGGCTGGTTCGGCGTCACCCCAACATGGCAAAAGTGTGCGTGCGTCGCCCCCCCGGGGGCGCCGCGCGCGCCGAGAGATCCTGTAGTGTAAGCTCCGTGGCCTGCGCCTTCTGGCCATGCCGCTCGGGAAGCGATGCGCTACAGTATGGTCATACTATTGTGTTCGGCTCGGACGCACGCCTCCGAAGGGGACAGATAGTACTAGTATGTCCTTGCGCGTCCTAGTGGAGGAGCAGGAGGACGAAGAGGAGGAAAGGAGGTCCGGGACGCTGGCTGGTGGGAGGCGGGGGATGGAAAGGGAGCGGTCACGGAGGTGGTGTGGGGAGGGTCCTCCCTCCCGTCTCTCCTTCCACTCCTCTTCTGATCTGCCCTCGTTGGAGCGTTCCTTCCTTCGTTCGTTCGTTCGTTCCTTGACGCGGTCTCACATCTGACGTCATCGCAAGAGCGAGGCACCGAATTTTGCAGTGGCAGCGACGGGTCGCAACCTCGGTCAGCAAGCAGGTGGCCGATATTCCATTGCGCGGGCAGTTTTTCCGACGATGGCCTTCGTCCATGTCCCAGCTTCCCTGTAGTAAGGTCTGAAGGCCTCGCCCTATGGCAGCTTGAGCTGGCCTTCCAGCCTAACGGCCGCTAGGGAAACACCCAGGTTGGCGCCATAGCCCCAAGCGGGGGAGGAGGAGGAGGAGAAGGAAGAGGAAGGCCATATTCAGGCGATCGCAAACATGGATCAGGGGGTCGTGGATTAGCGACGGGTGCCCTTTCCGTGGGAAACCGCGACTTTCCGCCGCCGAGCGAGGCGGCACTGGCCGCACTTTGTGGAGGGCACCTCCCCCGATCCATGGATCTGGCGAGGCGGATATTGATACATAGCCATCGCCTGGAGGATCGATTTCCGCGGACCTCCACAGGCGGCGGATATAGAGAGATTGTTTGGCCCCTGGGGGCCAAGCTGCATCCACATCCACCGCCCGCTGGGCCCCCAGGACGTGCTTGCGCGCCCCAGACACCCGCGGGATCCGCCCCCCGCGCTCGCCGCGCCCGGCCGCGAGCGCGCCTCCTGGGGGGGCCGACCGTGGCCCGCTGGCCGCCGGCCATGGGAGACCGCAGGAGAGATGCGGCGAGCGGCATGCGGCCTCATGGCTGCGAGCTACGGGCCAGACATCCCGGCGCCCGCGGCGCGGCGCCCCCGCGTCGGGGAGCATCTTTAATTTCATCGCTTCGCTCATTCCGCCGTTCCACGTCGGGTGTTGCTGGAAGTGCCCCTGGCCCAAGCTGCCCCCCAGGATTTCCACGGAGGACCCCACGGCCTCCAGAGCACCCCCACGAGGCCCAGAGGGCCCCAGGTGGCTTCAAAATTGGGCGAAAAGCTGGGGGCACCTTGGGCCAGGGGCACTTCTAGCAAGACCTGACCATATGGCCTCGCCGCTGCCGTTTGTCTGGGTGTTGTTGTCAATGCGGTGCCGTTGGGCGGCTGCCATTTTGTCGGAGGCGGTGGGCGGCGGGCCAGAGGCCTCATGGATGTTGGTTGAGCTCTCGTGGTTGGCCTCTCGGGGTCCTCTGGGAGGCAGTTTTGAGGCCTCTTGGGGATCGTGTTGGGGCCTCTTGGGGCCTCTTGGGGGCCTCTCCCCATGTGGGGGAACATCCTTAGTGTTTCGAGAAAGAATCACGGCATAACTCGGCGCAACCCAGACATACTAATATGATGTGTACGTCACCCCCGGAGGGGCGACGCGTGCGCCGAGAAATTCTCTAGTCTCTAGTGTATGCTCCGTGGCGGGTGCTTTCTGGCCGTACCGCTCGGGAAACGCTATAATACAACATGGATGAATTATTTGTTCGGGTCGAACGCACGCCTCCGAATGGGACACGTAGTACTATTATGTCCCTCTGCTTCCTATAAGCATAACCGTTCGGAGCTCTGCGCGGACTTTTTGAATCTGCGCTGAATCCCCCCCGGCGGCGCCTCCAGCGCCACCCTTGGCGCGCTCCGCGCGCCAGGGCGGGGGGTCCATCGCGGATCCAAGAAAATTCAAGCTGAGCTCCGACAGTTTATGTTTATGCAGATTTTCTTTCTCCAACACCCCCGCTTCCCTGGGATCCACAGCGGCTCCAGCCCAGGGCACCGCCAGCGAGTCGTCGACAGTCATGAGCTGGCGGCGTGACGACCGCGACGGCTGGACAATTCGGAGGCGTTGGGATAGTTGGTTATTTGGCACATCACACCAGGGTCACCTTGGAAGCCTTTCTCCTTGTTCGAAGTGCAGGGCCAGGGAGCGGCGGGGCCGGCGCCGATGGAGCCTGCAGCTCCCTGCCGCTGCACCGGCGACAGGGGCTCCCCAACGTCTGCCCTCCCCTGTCGGGAGCCGCCGCGGTTCCCGTGGGCGCGGTGGTGACTCCGGACCCGACGGGAAGCGCCAGCACCCAGGGTCCGCCCCATCCAGGAGGGCGCTGCTGCGCTACGGTCGCGGTCGACGCCCCAGTGGCGGGCCTTGCTGCTTGGCACGCTGGCCCTCGTTGCCTGCGTTTCCGCCCTTCCCGTACTCGAGCCTGGGCGTCACGTCATGGGGGGCGAGAAGTGGGGGGGTGAAGAAAAGTGCACCTTTCGTGTGCTCTCCTGGCCCTGAAGGGGCCCCCCTTGGGGGCCCGAAGGGACACGAACGGTGCACGTCTCTTCGCCCCCCCCCCCCCCCCGCTTGTCGCCCCCTCATTTTTGAGCGACGCCCAGCGAGCGGCAGCCCGTGCCCTGGCCTCCTCTGGCCCTTGCCCCGCCCCCTCAGCGCCGAACCCACAGGCCGCCTGAAGTGACTCGTTACGAGCTTGATTGATGGACTGCAGTGCAGCCTGAGCCTCAGGCCTGAGGCCATGTGCCGTTCTGTCCGAAACCTGCGCCCTGCTTGGTGCCGGCGCCTCGCTGCCGCGCGTGCAGAGCGCGGCGGCCCCCGTCCGCAGCCCCTTCGCTCTGACTACCCCAGGGCCACTGCGGCCAACCCTCGGCCCCTGCGGCCGAGCCTCGGGCCGCCGTCCTCTCTCGACGCCGTGTTCGACTGCGCTGCTGCACCGCGCTGCCGCGCACGGTGGGGCGCATGGTGTTCTCGTCCCCCCCCTACACTGCGCGGCGTACGATTTCTCGCCTCCCCTTCCCGCGGACCTCGTCCGCAGCGAGGATGCTGCCTGGATGCCCCCAGGGCATGGGCGGGCCGGCGTCGCTGATGTCTCCAGGGGATGCCCCGTCGACGCCGTCTCCGCTGCGCCACTCGTGGGGCACTCCGTGGCACTCGCGCGGCTCCCTTTCTCCGTCTTGTCTTATTGCTTTCCACTTCCGCTGAAGGTTCTTGCAGACATACAGATTCCAAGCTACGCCAGGGAATTGGTACACCATCGTTAGAGACAGCGACATCCATCATCTACAAGAAGGTTTCGTCGAGAATTGGCACTGCGCGCTGCGGGGGCTTCACGCCCATACTGATAGTTGGGACAGCCTTCGCTGTAGTTGCGTTCGTTCGTTCGTTCCCAGTGCCGCTCCCAGGCGTCTGGCGCTGGAGACCGCCGAAACGCCGCGCGCCACTTGATCGGCTGTTGAACAGAATTGTGGTGAATTGTGTACAGTTCTTCCGCGCCGTGGTACCTGGCGAACCGTGAAGCTCGTGAGTTTCCCTGCCCTCGCATGGTGATCAGTGGTGTCGTGTTGTGGTGCGTGGTGTGGTCATGTCGTGTGTGTGTGTGTTGCATGCGAGCTCTGCAAGCTAATTTTCCTCCCGTGTCCTGTGCAGGACTGGCTTTCTAGCCGTGCGGGATCTGTAAGTCTTTGCACGGTGATTCGGTGACTTCCGAATCTTGCCCCACGTCTCGAGTTCTCAGAGGCTATGTGTTTCGACTGGCCAGCCAGGTGAAAGAGACAACGACCCGCGGACCCAAGAAGTTGTTCCTCGTCCTCCTCGTTGTCGTGCTCCTCGGCCTCCTACTCGTGCCTCTTCCCTTTTTACACTTGCCCCCCACTCTTCGTCCTCTCCCCTCCTCGTCCTCTTGGTAGCCCCCCCCCTCCCCGAGGAGCCCGATGGCGATGGCGGCCCGCTCCCTCCCGTTGCAGCCGGGCCAGAGGCCGAGGTCACATGCGAGAGGGACGAGGTGGCGCGCGGCATTGCGTCGGCCGTGCAGGCTCGGCTTCCTCCCCTCGCCTCCGCTCGCTGCCTCCCCCCCGCTGTCCGCCCCCCCTGGCTGGACTGCAACAATGATCACTGCTCTTTCCTTGACTTCCTCTGGCGCAGCAAAAGTGCTGTAGTATTCACGCATTGGCGTCCACAGCGATGCCCTACCAGCGCGGCCTTGATTTCAGAGGCACTGGTCTCTGCGGAGGGGGGAATGTTCGGAGCGCCCCGGGTGCCCCGCTGCAGCGATGACGAGGACACGCGACAAACGATTTTCAGGAGTATCGATGCTGGTACCGGCACGGATGCAACGGCCAGTCATCAAGAGTCGACGGCTTATCATTAGGTTTGCTGTTGCATGAGGCTCATCTGCCGCTTCTTGGTATCAGCCAGCCTGTGGGAGTCCACCGCCCCTCCGACCAGGACTTCCTGAACGGCGGTGACCTCGACGAAGACAGCGCCAGCGACACCGAGCAGGCCCCAGAGGCTGCCCCTGTGGGCACAGCGTCAGGTGGCACCAGCCCAGCGATGCCCACCGCGCCGGCCCAGTCGGGCGCAGCACCAGGCGGCCCTGGGGGGCCAGGGGCGACAGCAGCTGGTGGATCGGAAGCGCGGGTGCAGGGAGCGCGAGTCGAGGCGAGTCGGGGGAGGGATGGGGGCTAGGCTAGGACACGGGATGGGCAGGGGGAGCCTGAGGGCAGCGTGGGTTGGCGGCGCGCACAAGGGGGTAGGGGGAGGGGAGAAGGCTTCTTGGAAGCAGGCGCCGGCCTTGCATCTACAGACGAGGCCCGCGCCTTCTGAGGACCAGGGGTGTTTCTACTAAGATGCCTTCCCGCTCCCCCTACCCCCTTGTGCGCGCCGCCAAGTGAGGTGTTGGACGGGGGCAGGGGAGGGGAAGGTACGTGAGTGGAGGGCACGGGACGGGACAGGTGAATGGTAATGGCCATGACGACGACGGTCGAGATGACCACGATGGTCGTGTAGTTATGACGATGTTGATGGCCCCGCTGATATCGAATCCCGCGTTGACGTTGGTGTGGGCGGCCGCGGCTTACAGACGAATCATTTGTGAAGTCTGTGGTGGTGTACCTGAGAGTGTAGCACGCGTGCGCCACACGCTGCACGTGGTGTTCCTGGGCCAGCCATGGATGCTGCTATACCGCAGCTATGCATTCACCCTAGCCACCATCTCGTTATCGTGCACAGGCTTGTCCACCAGGTATGTCTGCTCGACCCAGGGGAGATTCTTCACATGATTACTGGGCGCGCCCGGCCTATGTTCCGAGCCCCTGATTTCACATTTTTTTGTTTTCGATCGAGATATCCGAGGGAGCCCGATCTGCCGTCGATGCTCTGAACAAATTTCATCAGGGGGGTCAGAAACCAGGGAACCTCCCGCACCCCCTGCCCCCCTTACAAAACTCCGAAGAGGGGGTCAGAAACCATGGACCCCCCCCCTAACTTCCCCCCTCCCAGCCCTCCCCGTCCGCAAAGAACCAGGGGAGGTCCAGAACCCCCGACCCTCCCACCCCTGGGACAAGCGCAGCATCTGCCCCCCCCCCTTTCCCGCGGCAACGACGACGCCGACGACGACGATGACGGCGACGACGACGATGACGACGACGACGACGACGACGACGACGACGACGACGGCGACGACGACGATGGCGACGACGACGACGACGACGACGACGACGACGACGACGACGACGACGACGACGACGGCGACGACGCCTACGACGACGCCGACAACGGTGACAACGTCAGCGGCGGCGGCGGCGCACCTGTCGCCGGTGCCCTCGCCAGGCGGCCTTGATAGACCCTCAGTAGGGCTCGATCCAGCTTTCTCAGAGTCCCACCAGGGCTCGATCCAGCTCTGATGGAATCCTGGCTCGAGTCCTAACTATACGGCCGCTCTTCGGGGATGAGGAGGTTCGGGGCGGGGAGGAACCAGCGTCTGACTGAATCGATCCCATTATCAATGCCACTTATCGATATCACTCGATCGATCCCACTATCGATCCCACTATCTATTTCATCGTTGATCTCACTAACCCTGTTACCCTCGATCTCACAAGCGAGGTCGCTATTGATCTCGCAATGGGTCTGAGTACCAATTTCACTATCCATCTCAATGTCGATCTTACCACCAATTTCATTATCGATCTCCCACTCGATCTCACTATCGATGTCACTACCGATCTCATTGTAGATGTCATTATCGATCTCCCTCCATCAATCAGGCATAATCAGGCAATCAATCTCGTCAGCGATTTCGCAATCGATTTCGCGGTCGATCGATCTCACAATCAATTTCACCATCCCCCCCCTTTCGATTTCGCATGCGATCCCATCATTGGTCTCACAGTCGGTTCCACCGTCGATTTCACGATCAAGCCCACACGATCTCACCGTCGATCTTGGTATCGGTCTCATTGTCGATCTCAATGTCGATTTCACCATCCGAGCTCATCATTGATCTCACTATGGATTTTATTAGTGGTTGGATGATTGATCTCCCAATCAATTTCATTATCGACTTGGCTATCGATCCCACTTTCGACCCTTCTATCGATTTCACTATCGGTCCCACTATCGATGTCACTATCGATCCGACAATCCATTTCGCAGTCAATCGCAATCGATGCCGCTATTGATTTCTTTATCGGTATCCATGCCGATCCCGATATCGACCTCACTGGACACCACGAGACACCGCGCCATTGGACACCACGGGTTACCGCGAAATACCACGGGACACCACGGGACACCACGGGACACCACAGGACACCATCGGGACACCATCGGGACACCACGGCAGGACATTCTCGACCACCGCTGGCCAGCCGGGGGGGAGGGGCGCCTTTTGGCCCAGCGGAAGGTTCACTTTTTTGCCTGCCCACGCAGCTTCGCCTCGCTTGCACGCGCGAGATGAACACGACACCGAAACCGATTTCCCAGTGTGGGGCTCTCCTTTTCATTACGATCTGACCCCTTCGCCTTTGGCTAGGGCTGGATCCAGCTCAACTGGATCTAACATTAATGGAGTCCAACTGAGATTCAATCCAGCTTACTAGAATCCTTTGAGGTCTGGATCCAGCTCTAATAGAATCGTGCTGGGTTTCGACCCATCTCTGATATGATCATACCTATACGACCGCCCTGCGGGCGACAAGGAGGTTGGGGGGATTGAGATCAAATGCGCACCCTGACTGACCTCCAGCCTGTCACCTTGATCTCAACTCTCTCTTTCTCTCTGTCTCTCTCTGTGTCTCTCTTGGAAGAGATGGATTGGATAAGATAAGATGTATTGGATTGGCCCGCCGCAGGCGCAGAAACAAATGAATTGATGGATTGTGTTGGATGGATTGGATTGGGTGGGATAAGATAAGATGGGACAATATGGGTTGGAAAAGATAATATGGATTGGATTGGACAAGTTGGATTGGATAAGATGAGCTGGATTGGATAAGAAAGACCACCGCAGGCGCCGACAAAAATGAATTGATGGATTGGGTTGGGTGGATTGGATTGGATATGATCAGATGGATTGGATAATATAAGATGGGTTGGATTGGAAAACATGGATTTGATAATATAAGATGTATTGGAATGGCCCGCCGCAGGCGCAGAAACAAATGAACTGATGGATTGGGATGGGTGGATTAGAAGAAAATATGAGACAATATGGGTTGGATAAGGTAAGATGGATTGGGTTGGACAAGACGGATTGGATAAGATAAGCTGGATTGGATAGGAAAGCCCGCCGCAGGCGCCGAACAAATGAGTTATGAAATTAGCGACATGCGTTAGCGCGGGACGCCCGGGACACCAGGGACATTTGGGACAACGCCCGGCCCAATTGGGACACTTCCCGGCCACCGGCGGACGGGAAACGGACTTTCGCTCCTGCTGACACCCGGGACACCCGGGACACCGCCCGGGCCAATTGGGACACCTCCCAGCCACTGGCGGACGGGAACGGACATTCGCTCCTACTTCGGCCTAGCTACAGGAGGATCACGCTCAGCTTCGCCTCGCCCGCACGCACGACACGAACACGAAACCGAAACCGATTTCCCGGTGGGGGGTCTCCGTTTCATTGCGACCTCACCCCCCAATTTCCGATTATCTGTACAGGCCTATACGATCACCATTCGGGTGATAGGGAGGCTGGGGGGGAATAACCAACAGAGGACACTTGCAATGATTGTGATGGTGGCGATGCTGGTGATGCGCTCACGAGTTGGTGACGGTGCAAGACGACGATGCTGCCGACAACACACTGGCGATGCTGACGAAAAAGCAGGATGGCGAAAAAACATGATGGCCATGACGACGGTGGCGCCGACGGGACCCCGCGGCGGGACACCCTCGGCCACCCCCCACGGACCAACGGGATACCGACGGGACACCACGGCGGGGCATCACGGCGGGACACCCCTGGCCACGCCGGCTCACTGGACGGGCGGTCTTTTGTTTTGACCCGCCCTAGCCACAGCGGAGGCATTCCCCTCGCCCGCCCAAGCAGCTTCGCCTCGCCCGCACGCACGACACGAACCCTAAACCGAAACTGAGTTTCCGTTCCAGTTCGATGCCACCCCCCAACCTCCGACGACCAGCCTTCGAGTGATAAGGAAGAGGGTTGGAGAGAAAAAACATTCGAAGACAACTGCGATGATTGTGATGGTGGCGATGCTGGTGCTGCGCTCGCGAGTTGGCGACGATGCAAGACGACGATGCTGGCAACAATTACCACCGGGGCACCATCAGGACACCAATCGGGACACCAATCGGGACAAACACGGGACACCAATGGGGACACCAATCGGGATACCAATCGGCGCACCAATCGGGACACCAATGGGTTCACCAATCGGGACACCAATCGGGACACCAATCGGGACACCGAAGGGACACCGACGGGACACCGAAGGGGACATCGACGGCGGGACACCGACGGGACACCAACGGGACAGACGGGACACTGACGAGACACCACGGGGCACAGACGGGACACCGACGAGACACGGACGGGGCACCGACGGGACACCAAGGGGACACCGACGGGACACCAATGGGACATCGACGGGACACCGACGGGACACTCGGGACACCGACGGGAAACCGACGGGACATCGACGGGACACCGGCTGGACACAACGGCGGGACACCCCTGGCCAAATCTTACAAGGGGTCTCTCCAGCTTTCATAGAATACCAACCAGACTGGATCTAGCTCTGATCAATCGAACCCTATTTTGGGTCGATCCAGTTTTAATCGAAACCTGCAAGGACTTCATCCAGCTTTGATTACATCCCCAGAATCCCCACAGGGCTCGACCCAGCTCTGGTGGAATCCTGTTACAGCTTGATCCACGCATATTTCAGTTCTACGAGGGCTTGGTCCAACTCTTATTTATATCCTACTAAG